TCATCATTAGCAGGGGGTGCCAATCCCTTAATCCAGTGCCCATCAGCAGGGCTGAACCCAGCAGAGGCTCGGGTTTATTAAACCAGGCAGCTCCAGGGAATGCAGAGGGCCTGATCCCGCGGGAGGGGCTGGGACCAGCTTGGGGATGTCAGAGGAGCTGTGCTGTGAGCGTGGCTCGGCTCAAAGGCAGCTGCTCCGTCAAACAAGTGACAATCAAAGGGCCTAAATGAGTCTGGGTTTGTGTCTGCCCGCACAAACCCCGTCAGACTTGTTTGGCTTCGTGTGGCAGCAGAACGGGACTCAGGCGGCTCGGCAGGGTTTGTGCTGAGGAATGGAACATCCCGGGCCTGAGTCAGACATTCCCGGGGTTACCTCTGCCTCTGGCAGCTTGGCACCAGTGGTTCCTCCCAAATTTTGTCACGGTGTCACTCCAAGTGTCGTGGCCCCTGCCCAAAACACGGGGCAGAAGCTCCTGGGGGAGCTGGGCAGAGCCACCAGGCCCTGGGCTCAGTTCCCTTCTCCAGCCTCCTCTGGCGGCACGGAATCCTGGAATGGTTTGGGTTGGAAGGGCTCTGGAATCTCGTCCCATTCCACACACCTGCCAGGGAGGGCTCCAAGCCCCATCCACAGGTGGGAGGTGGCCCTGCAGACCCTGAGACTGGTCCCCACATGTCCCAAGCCCATCCCCTGGCACGATCAGGGCACTGCAGGCCCCTCTCTGCCGCCCTTCCCCTCGCGTCCCCAGCTGGGTGACGAGCGGGACGAGGGCTTTGCGTGAGGAGCGCGTCGTGCTGGCTCTGTGTTCCCAAACCCTTGAGTCCTGGGGTGTCCCACGATCACAGTGTCCCCAGCTGAACCCCGCGAGGGCGGGGCTGGATCCTGTCCCAAAGCAGCAGAGAAGCTGTGGGCCCCAGGCGGGCCCCGCGGGTCTGCGAGGGCAGCGCTCCTCCCGGGACAGCCGCGGCTCCGGTCCCTGCCCTCGCGTGGGAGCGAGGGAGAGCAGGGCAGTGTCCGTCTGGGAATGTCACATGGGGATGCCATGTGGGAATGTCACATGGGAGTGTCCCACGTGGGAATGTCGCATGGGAGTGTCCCACGTGGGAACGTGCCACATGGGAATGTCACGTGGGAATGTCACATGGGAGTGTCCCACGTGGGAATGTCACATGGGAGTGTCCCACGTGGGAACGTGCCACATGGGAATGTCACATGGGAATGTCACATGGGAGTGTCCCATGTGGGAATGTCACATGGGAGTGTCCCACGTGGGAACGTGCCACGTGGGATTGTCACATGGGAACGTGCCACATGAGATTGTCACATGGGAATGTCCCACATGGGATTGTCACATGGGATTGTCACATGGGGATGCCACGTGGGAATGTCACATGGCGATGCCACGTGGGAATGTCGCATGGGAGTGTCCCACGTGGGAATGTCACGTGGGAGTGTCCCACCTGGGCATGTCCCACATGGGATTCTCACATGGGATTGTCACATGGGAATGTCCCACCTGGGAATGTCACATGGGATTGTCACATAGGAATGTCCCACATGGGAATGTCCCACCTGGGAATGTCCCACGTGGGAATGTCCCACGTGGGAATGTCACATGGGAATGTCCCACGTGAGAATGTCACATGGGATTGTCACATGGGAATGTCCCACGTGAGAATGTCACATGGGAATGTCCCACCTGGGATTGTCACATGGGAATGTCCCACGTGAGAATGTCACATGGGAATGTCCCACTTGGGAATGTCCCATGTGAGAATGTCACATGGGAATGTCCCACCTGGGCATGTCCCACATGGGAATGTCACACAGGAATGCCCCGTGTGGGAATGCCCTGCTCAGCCCTCCCAGTGGCGCTGGGGCCGGAGAGCGGCTCCAGGCCCGCTCTGGTTGTCAGGCCAAGGAGCCTCCCGAGCCAGCTCCGATGACACCCTGCGCGTTCGTTAGTCACTAATTAATCTCCCCAGGATCAGCGCGGAACCCCGGCTTTGCGGGAACAACCCCGCGCGTTCCCGGTTTGTGTGGCTGGCAGGGAGGCGGGGACGGGGAGCGCCGCTCACGTCGAGCCCTTCACCTCCACAGAATCGTCTCCCGGAGCATTTAATTAGAAATGTCGCACTTAATTGATTTCCTGGCTATGTTAATTAAGGAATAATGAGGACCGGTTGCAGCAAAAGGTGCCAGCGAGGAGTTTTGAGTGTCTCTCCTGGAGGATGGGTCTGTTGGCTGCTCCCTGGGACAGCCAGGGGACAGTCCCGGGGTGGTGTCACCCATGTCCCAAACCTTCCAGCCTAGGCACGGCTCAGCTCCTTCCGTTTCTCCTCGTTGCTCCTTTTCCTGCTCCCCACCCCGGGGTGTGCCAGGATGGGCTGTGGGCATCGCTGGGATGTGGGGTCACCTGGCCAGTGTGGGGACAGGGACACGGGGACATCCCCACAATGCCACCCTCCCGAGGGATGTGCTGTCCGCTCCTCTTGGAGGGCTGGGATGGAGATCCAGAGCCCGGGATGGCCTTGGGAGGGGTGTGTGAGACCCCCCGGGCAGAGCTCTGGGTACAGATCGAGCCCCGGGATGCTCTGAGGACATTCCCAGCTGGAATGTGGAGTCCTGCTGCTGGTGGCCGTCCCCAGCTCCAGGTGTGTCCCCGGGTCCCTTTAGGAAACACCACTTTGGGCTTTTTCCTGGTTTTGGTGGCTGATTCCACACCCAGCAGCTCATCCTTGGGTCTGAGCACACCTGGCAGCGAATCCCTCGGGAATGGCCAGGGGACAGCTGCCAGCAGCACGTCTTCCAGCAGGGTGGGCACCCCGGGGACACCCTGGGACACCTCCAGGACACTGAGACACCCCTGGGACACCTCTGGGACACCCCTGGGACACCCCTGGGACTCTGAGACACCCCCAGGACACCCTGAGACACCCTCAGGACACCTCCAGGACCCCTGTGGGACACCCTGCAACACCCTGGGACATTCTGGGACTCTGAGACACCCCCAGGACACCTCCAGGACACCCTGGGACACCCCAGAACACCCCAGGATACCCTGGGACACCCCTGGGACACCCTGAGGACACCCTGGGCACCCTGAGACACCCCCAGGACACCTCCAGGACACCCCAGGATACCCTGGGACACCCTGGGGACACCCCCAAACACCCTGGGACACCCCAGGACACCCCGGGGACACCCCTGGGACACGCTGGGGACACCCTGGGCTCCGTCCCCTTTAACCCCTCGGTGGCACCGCCCGCGGTCCCCGTGTCCCTCCCGGCTGTGTCGCAATAAAAGAGCTCCAAGCCTGGCTGTGCTCCCAGCTCCTTGTGCCATCCCAGCGGCAGCGCTGGGGTTTAAAGGGCTCCTCCAGGACCAGGGTATTATGGGCTGGATTTCCAGGGAATGGGGATTCTCCTGGGAATGATTTTCCCTGGATGGGGGGAGGGGGATTTCCCAACAGCAGGAATTCTGAATTCCGTGTGTTTGTGTATAATTATACATAAATAATTGCCGAATCTGTATAATGCTAGAATATAAAAATATGTATAATTATAGGCGTAATATATATAATTATCATCTAGTACATATAATAAAATATATAAGCCAATTGATATATTTTAAAATATGTAATTAGATATTATTATATATAATATACACCTCATAAAGCACAATCTATATTTTATAGATACATTTTACATACAAAGTACACGGCGGGCATGCTAATAAATATATATAAAATATAAATTATAAAACACAATATACACATTTTAAATGCAATTGTATGTATATGTTTTATTCATGTGTATATATGTGTATATATGCTATATTTTATATATAATTATTTTAATTTTTTGCATATATATGTATATCATTCATATATATATATATATATGGGGTTTTTTGGTTTTTTTTTTTGTTTATTTGAGTT